GGAGTGAGTTATCGCCATATTTAGGCGTTATCAGAAACCTCCTCAGGGCACCCTGAAATGTTAAACAGCATCGACATAGATCTATCCGCATGGTTGGGAATAGATCGACTAAGATCTTAAAACTCCAAACCAAATAAACAGTACGGCTATATTGATCAGCAAAACCTGAGCTACGGTTTTCCAGCAGAACACGCAGAGAGCGACCAACAAAAGCGTCCTGCAATAATAATTAAAAAAGATTATTATATTTGTGCGTGTTACAGGGCGCATGACGTTTAACGTGCCCAAAGTTCAAAGGAGGTCACATATTCGTAAATAATAGTTTTCTTTGACCCCATTATTCACGTTTTTCCTTCCGTATATAGAACGCGATAATTGGCTGCATATGTGCTCGGTCAGGAAGTTGGCGCACTCCTCGTGAGCTGGCTCTGAACACTTCATCCAACGCTGTTCCATCGAACGCCGTTTCACCGAAACCGTTTAATCGAACTCTGTTTTCTTGAATGTTTTACTTGAAGTGGAGGAGCTGCAGCGTGCACTGAGATTGCCTATCTTTGCTTGATTGCTTGAATTCCGCAACTGAGGAAGTACGTTGCAATGTGCTTTCGTAGGCGACGACAAACACGTACGTGGCAGGTACTACGATAGTGACACAATTTCAAGTACGTAACACTAGGTCGGGGTATTGAATTCAGCAATGTCTGCCTTTTCAGCTCGATCTTTCGTCTCACGTAGCTGGCAAAATGAACGCATAAATTTTAATCTTTTTTTTTTTTTTTACGCGTTGTGTGTCATTTTAGGTTTTTCAAACTTCTTTCTGTTAACTACGAAGTCCTAATAAATTGGTTTGGATTAAACCCCAGCCTATTTTTCGTTTCTTTTTTTTTCCTCTCGTTCCCATTTGCCGTAGGAATACGAAAACCTGCACATATGCTTTCGTATTCTGCTTGGGAGCGTTCGCTGAAAAACTACATTCGAATTTCTAATCTAAACCCCCGTACCTAAGGTTAAAATAGCACACGCAAAAACATACACGCGTACTTTGCCGTTCCAGGACCTGGAACCTCTCGAATCCCTTCATCTTAAAACGTTGAAACCAAAGATCTGCAAACGAGGCTCGGACACGGGGATTGCGCCCAGCTAATGACGTTTCGAGCTCTCTGATTGGTTCCCGTCGGAGGAAGGAGGCATGCAGCGCGGCGAAGTAACGGCGTTCCCTAGCCGGTTATTAAAATGGGGAATATGAACGGGGAATGAGGGAGAATAAGAGTCTCCCACCGCTGTAAAAAAAAAAAAAAGAGTTTTTTTTTTAAAGTAATGTTGTTCCATGTTTTTACTTGTGCCACTTTCCTTCTTTTGCAAGTACACATACATTATTTTTTTTCCTCATTCATGTTTCTTCGGTGTGCTTTGTTCAGAAACCTAGATCCTGACGTTAATGGTACAAGTTTAAGTTTCGTTTATTTTCCGCGATCACACTTTTCACAAGTTTATTTGAAAACGGAGGGTGTACCTTCGCTGTTCCGCTTTTTAGAAGTCCACCGTATAGCCATCCCTTACCGCTGCTCTAAATCTTTCCGGAAACACCTCGTTACAACCGTCTAAGGTTTTTCTTTGTCACTTTTATCGCGGGTTATATTCTCCACTGCAAGGTATTTTTTTTTTCTCCAGAAACACGAACGAGCGAGCAATATTACTATAGTTTAGCGCAGTTATGGAACTGCCCCATAGACGCTGCTTTTTGCACTGTGTACTTAGAATATATATCAAAGCCCGTGAACGGCCTCCTTTACCTCCACTTATCATCATCACGCGAGGATGGCGCCAACTACGCCGAGCCTTTTTCGAAAGATTTGTTGGAAACGAAGCGAACCCCGACGTGGCCCTCGTGTCCTGTCTCTGCCTGTGCTTGATCTCACTGGGGTGATGATGTGAAACGTCAAGCACACGGGCTTTGATCATTTTCTCTAGGTGGTGCTGTGTATGCTCGTTAGCCTCAAGAACGAGTCAGTCGTGTTTGTGGATGATAACTGTATTTTTCTGCGATAACAATTATTTCGTGTCATTTTTCGTTCACGAACCGATGTTTACCTATAGAAGAAAGAAACTCGGCCATGTTCGCCTCGTTCACGAGATGTATTTTATTTCGCTTCTTGAAGGGGGCTAAATCAAGGAGAAAACACGCGAAATATTTCGGGATAGTATTTATTTCTCTTTTTGTTTTTTTCCATGTTACGATTTTTGGCAATTGTCTTTTTCTTGATTCTAGTTCGAAGATGAATCTGCGATCCGGAAGTGAAAAATGTCCCTTGGACATTTTATTTTTTTTTAGGGGGGAGGGGGGAGGGGAGGGGAGGGAGTGTTCGTTTCGGGAAGAGAAAGCGGACTCGGACACTTGGGCCGTTCCGCGTCGTTGTACGCACGCGGGCGGACAAACTTGGAACTGGATGTCCGTGGTGCGTGGCCGCGGATGCGCCTGACTTCCTCGTGGATTTATGTGCATAACCCCGATTCCATTCACGCTCCATAGAACGTCCGCAGAACGCACAAGACTCCGATTCCTTGTGTGCGTGTGCGTGCGTGCGTGCGTGCGTCTGTGTGTGTGGGGGGGTTTAAACAATTCCAAGCAGACGACACAGACCGTGTTTCAAAATTTATTTGATCTTACTCCAAGGTAAGGGTTTCGTACCTTTGCGTTCGAAAACCTACCCGCGTCCAACGTCACTCTATCTGTGTTATCGCGTAACCCGACCCGCCAGAGTAACTCGGCGTGTGGGGTTACCCCGGCCCGCCGAGTAAGATATCGGGAAACTTGGTTTTCCCTTGTTCGGGCGCGCGGCGACGCGGCGTCGACGGTGGACGAGGCCGAAATATCTACAGAATGTCACCCGTAAAACTATCGCTTTAAAATATGTTTAATGCCAAAGCGTTAAGTTTCCCAGGGAGTGAACCGGCATTAGCTTTTGAAGCCGCGCAAAACGGCACCTGAATTCCCCTGTCCCACATGTAGCGAAGCTAGTCTGTATAGCAGCCACCCCATTGGCTGGCGCGCGGCGTAGTTCCAACTATTTTACATTAGTTCCAAGGAACGCCAACCCACACAGAAGCCTTCTCTCCACGGCGCAGCGGCCTGGCCGGGCAGACTCCGGAGAGGCTGCACGACCGAGCTCAGCGCGGCGCGCAGCTTGTAGGAATACGCTACATGTACGAATGATTTCGCATTCCGGCACGTTAGCAGTCTTAAGTGTCTTTGTAGTTTTTTTTTTCTTTTTTCAAATTAATTAACGTAATATTTACACTTTGAGGTTTACATTAATTTTGCCTCCTCAGCGATTAAGAACTTCAGTTTCGTTACAATCGTCATTTACGGGTCGCCTGTAATCTACATGACTGTAGCGATGGTTAACGCGAGAAAGCGTGATTAAAGCATCCAAAAACGCCGGGGATGCCTCTTCGACATGTGTCTGTCTCGCATCAATCGTCTTTGCAGCCGACGAGTCGTCATTCAGATTGTCATCATTCTCGAGAATTATGATTTCCGCGAATATTCTCGAGTGGTGGGGAATATGAAGCTTTACTTGGCTCTCACAGCGAAAATATTGGGTTGTTCGAAAACTTTTGTCGTGTTTTCTTGTCCTTTTAATTAACATGTCAGTTAGCCATTACATATGTAAAAAAAAAATCCCTGTCAATAACGTTTGGAATCTTTTTTTTTTTTTTTTTTTTCTTTTTTTTTAATAACGTTTTTTGAGAGGCAACGCCCCTCGAGGCCGTCTTAAGCGACATGAGGCCCCTTAGGGCCGAAGCTGCAGGCAGCAAATAAAGTAATTCTCTCTCTCTCTCTTAACAACGCTGATTTCAAAGAAATATTTAATGCTGAATTGGACCAATTCGGCATTAACTGATTCTTCGGAATCTGCGTTACTGAAAAGAATGGATTCGAAACGCCCCTGACAGGCAAAACTTTATATATACTGTAAACGGCTTCATTTTCGCGGGCTCAAATTTTCGCGAATCGGGGCAAGGCTGAAAATTTGAAATTATTCGCGTGTTCTAATTTTCGCGAATCGAGTGTAGCTTCCGTAGCGTTCACATATTGCCCGAATAGTTCGCGAGACCTATTTTTTGCGAATCGTGGGCGATTCGCGAAATTCGCGAAAATTAGGTCCCCGCGAAAATTTAGTCGTTACGATATGATGCTAATTAAAATGTCATTTAAAAGAGGGGAAAAAAAGGCTTACAAGTAAGCTCCAAGTGAAAAAGATAAAAAAAAAAGTAAGGAAAGGTAAGACACGTCGCTGGTCTCTTTCTAGAACGTTTCGATATTACTAAGTAACCACCAGTTAAAAAAAAAAAAGCCGTTCAGCATACGTTTTTTGCACGTTTTTTTCTTTGTCGACCTTTTTTTGCAATTTCAGTTTGAAAGCATGGTCCAATTTTCTGTTGTGCTTTTTATTTTCCCCCTTGTATGCCAAGGCAAAAACTCTTGGGGTTTGAACCTTGAGATGGACCGATAATGTTGGCCAGATTTCCGCGTCCCATACTTAGATGGCACTATACTCGAATTCCGGATTGCAGGATGTATCCCGACCAAAGAGTGTGACCATCAGCCCCTTGCATAACTTTAACGAAGTGAATCCTCAGCGTGAAAAAGCCTGCGTTGAAACCGCCCTCGCTGTTCGCTCAGCTAACACACCACCCACGTTCGGGTAACTTCACAAAGAAGACTCACTCTAACTTATCGCGGAGCGCGTTAAATTCATGAACGAGCTGTTTTACTTATAAGGTTAACAACGGCTCCGACGCCGCAGCGGTGGTGCTGTTGTCGGCCCAGCACAGACGCAGACGTTTCACCTCACGCGAATCTGGTTTCTGCGCATGCGCGGTGCTGACACCTGGTGTGGTCCAAGACGCGGACTTGTTTCCTAAACAGCCTAGTCGTGCGATAATTCCTCTCTTCGTCTCGCGCTGTATTTCAACTCCATTCTTTGCTCTCCCAGATGACTTGACCCTCGGAGGCGGTGTGACTCGGCTGACGTGGACCAAAACCGGCGACGCTTCGTGGACCGTGAGCGGTGTCGCGGCGTAAGGATGTCCTGATTCTAGTTTCCAGCGTTCCTTTCTTTTGCCTGGATCACGCCGTGACCGTGCACAGGGTAAGCCTCTCGACTTTTGGTAGTATATGGTAACGCTCTTCCTGACAGAATGTACGGCACGCAAGTTCGTTCGCTTCGTGCGCAGTGGGTGCGGTGACCTCTGATGCCGAGCTCTGATTGGATGTATAGTGGGTAGACGGAAAGGCTACCTTTTCGTCTCTATCCACCGTTTCCCTCCAGTCAAAGCGAGCAAAATCCTTGTTTGCTTCCTCGCGCAGGGGGTGCGGTGGCGTCAATGCCAGGCGTTCGGACGCCGAATGCCAGCGTCGTCTGCTAGCCCTAGCAACGGTTTTCTTGCCTTTTCTACGCCTCTCAAACATCCACCGTTTTTTTTTCTTTTGTTTTCTTGAACGATGATTTAGCTTTTTTGAAATTTGAGAGAAAATAACTCGAAGGTTGCGTTCTTTTTTTTTTCGACGAGCAGACGCGCGCTCTAACGGCAAACGAGAAAATGACGACCGAGATACGTAGTCTGCTCCTGAGCGGAACTATTCGAGGAAATTTATCAACACACACCTCGAAATGTGACTCTGCTAACGCATTTAATATCCTGTATTGTCCGAAAGCATAGTATACAGGTGCAAATCGTATTGCGGCAACTAAGCTCAAGTAATTTTCACTCCCAGTGTTATATCTTACATTTCAATGCCACATATATTAATAAATGTGTCTAAGTTGAGAACATAGAAATCGACTACAGTAGAACTCAGTGCATCAAAAGAAAAGAAGCAGCAGCAAATTGTTTTACGGCTTCTTGTTTCCTGTCGATTCGATTTTTACCAAAATGCTCCTACGCAAATTTCGAACCTTATGTTTTTGTTTTTGACCGTTGCAGTATTTCTCCCTTGTGTAGTTTGTGAATAGTTTTACCTTTGTGCAGTAGTTTGACCGTTGTGAGTCAGTCTTTCTGCCTTGTGCAATCGTCTTTGTTGTGCACATAATGATGACATGCAGTGAGGTAGTAAAAATAAGTATCGGACGACACTTCACAAAGCCTATACAAAAAATCGGAATAAAACGTGTCGAAAAAAAAAGTCGGAACACTCCTAATCACTTCTTATGAGTTGTGAATGTAAAAGCATGAATGTCTGACGATGTAGATGCTAGAGGCGGCGCCATGTTCGTCGGCGTCGAGACGAGCAGAAGCCTCCGAACGCGCGCCAACGTGTCCGTTTTAACCGGCGCGGGGCTCGTAGTGGCATGGAGTTGCGGCGGTTAGTTTTATCGGCGCGCTGGCGGCACGGACACGCAGCGCCATCTGGCGGCGGTCGTTGAAACTGACGCGCGCAGAGGCCAATGGGAGCATTGTCGTAGTGCGCCAACCAATGGGGGACCTTTTGGATCAGAGAAACTATGTGCTGTTTTCGCGCTTCAAACTGATGACGTCGGCTCGCTCCATGGGGCAGTTAATGTTTTCGCATTAAAAAGCACGAATACAAAGTTTTTGCCAAGGCGCGGCGGGGAAAGAGGAGCGAAGATTTGAAGCCACCTTATGGCGGCCGCGTCACGTGATTCTAAGATGGCTGCGCCTATGCGACGGAGGGTGAAAATGTCTATATATCTGTATCCGGACATGTACGTAACGCGTTACAAGTAATGCGTTACTTCTACTTAGTTACTTTTGTCGGTAACGAGTAATGTATTTAGTTACTTTTTTAGAAAAAGGAACGAGTAACGTATTTAGTTACTTTTAAGGCCGAGTAACGAGTAACGGTATCTCGTTACTTTTGAGGAGTAACGCGTACAACACCACTTAAACGGCCTTGTTTTTATTCTAACCTGAGGATGCGTCTATTGCGACAATGGTAGGTTAACAACTCGAAAAATAACTAATTAGTATGACAGTAAAGCAACGTATATCGCTGAGCACTTCAGTCGAACAGTTCTACTATGGTGCCTGGAACGCGTCTCCGACTCGTGTGTTTACCGCGGCCAAAAAAGTGGTCCCTCGATTTCCCCTGATGACGTCATAAAAGTGTCATGCTGTCGCCGGTCGCGACCCTGGCGGCGTCTCAACGGTTGTGGTATAAATGGCAGACGCCTGTTCTGCTGCAGGTCGCTCTCCACCGTGACAGTTCACAGAAGCTACAGCAGCCGGAAGTTGGGACGCCTGGGACGCCCTGACGACAGCGACACTCGCGTTCGCTCGTGCTTTTCGCCAGCATTTCTTCGGCCAGCCGTCAGGATCGCGACAGGCAACAGCATGACACTCCGGTTTCTGTGACGTCATTTGTTGCCACTTGGGGACCACTTTTGATGTATGGGCGGGATAGGACGCTAAACACACCTGTCAAAGACGCGATCCAGGCACCATAGTTCTATTAACTTGTCCAGCGATAAAGGTTGTTGTACTGAACTCTACAGCTAAGAATGTGCTTCACCCAGGGAACACAATAAAGTTTGTTGGCTGCACCTTCTAGAACCGGGTACCGACCGAATGTAAACCCAGAGGCTGCGAACACGGGAAGTCACATAACCTATTACCGGCTGTCCTCAATGAAGGCGCAGTTCCCGAAGATTCATCAGGTCTTCCTGAAGCACATCACTGCCGTTCCTTCGAGCGCGTCGGTAGAACGACTCTTCAGCGTCGCCGGAGATGTATTTTCAAAGGAAGCGGGGAAACTTAACTGATGAAAAATTCGAGAGGCAGCTACTGCTTAAGTGCAACCACTACTAAAAAGAAAACAATGAACCACGAAACAAAAACAGTTCTGTATTCGGTTCTCGAAATAACGTGAAAAGTAATTAATTACTTCCGAGATAACTCACGCGTTCCTTTCGAGAATCGGTAACGAGTAATGTATTTAGTTACTTTCTGAGCGAGTAACGAGTAACGGTATTTAGTTACTTTTTCTGGGTAACGTGTACATGTGTGTCTGTATCTTTTGATCTGGGTTTAAAGGCAATTGGACGATCACGCTGAAACTGTGTGGGACCTGGTCCGGGTAGAGTGCAGGCATGGACATTCTGTTTTTGGGACATTTCATTTTTCTGGAACCATTTCTTCCATTTCCCAGCAAAAATGGCCCTCCTTTTGATGTAGCCCTGTGCGGTCACGCAGGTCACCAACCCGGCCGGTCTTGGTAGTGACGGTCTGCCTCCTGAGTAAAGAGGGAGAAGCGAGTAAGAAAGGGGGACAAAAGATGGGCGCTGTGTCTCTGTCGGTAAGATGACGAGCATAAAGATTTAACTCTAGACCAGCTAGGTGGGTCTTGTACGGAAAACGCAATATCGTTGTCGGACAAGCTGAGAGACGGGGATCCAACGTCTCCCGGGTATATTTCGCAGCCGTTCCTCGCGTAGCACAGAAGTCTCCAAGTAAGTGACAACTTTTCCAATGGGAGGCCGCGAGTCTGATGAGCCAACGAGAAACTCAAGATCTATGACCAAAAATACTCTGTCAAGTGGGAAGCGAACCCAAAGTACAAAAGAAAAAAAAAAAGAAACCTTTTTGCGGGTAGAAAAAAAAGAGAGAGAGAACAGCATTTTATTGCAAAGCCTGCGACGCCGATTGCAAAGGAGGCAAGTCAGAAACAGAGCGTCGTCTCAAACGCTAAACACACACACACACACACACACACACACACACACACACACACACACACACACACACACACACACACACACACACACACACACGCACGCACGCACGCACGCACGCACGCACGCACGCACGCACGCACGCACGCACGCACGCACGCACGCACGCACGCACGCACGCACGCACGCACGCACGCACGCACGCACGCACGCACGCACGCACGCACGCACGCACGCACGCACGCACGCACGCACGCACGCACGCACGCACGCACGCACGCACGCACGCACGCACGCACGCACGCACGCACGCACGCACGCACGCACGCACGCACGCACGCACGCACGCACGCACGCACGCACGCACGCACGCACGCACGCACGCACGCACGCACGCACGCACGCACGCACGCACGCACGCACGCACGCACGCACGCACGCACGCACGCACGCACGCACGCACGCACGCACGCACGCACGCACGCACGCACGCACGCACGCACGCACGCACGCACGCACGCACGCACGCACGCACGCACACGCATACACACACGCATACACACACGCACACGCACACGCACAAGCGCACACACACACACACAAAAGTTTGTAGCGCGAAAAGCATTTGTACGTTAACTGAATGCCATTTGTTGGCGGCCAACAGCTTTTTTAGCTGAACATAACGTGCCATTTAAAGGGGCGGTGCAATGATTTTAACACTGAACGAATGTGCAGCTTGTATTTTTTATATTGTTTACTTCGGCATAAGTAAGAGAAAAAGTACCGCCATACCCCAAAATACCTCTATTTCGCTGCGTAATCGTAAAATAAAAAACGCTTTTTTTCCCAACCTGCGGCCACATGGTGGCCGCAAATGGAACCTGTGGTGTGACGTCATTCGGAGTGGTTTTTGTAAGTGATAGTGTTAGGCAATTGTAAGCTTGATTTAAGGTTAAGTTTAAAAAATCGTGTTGTTTAGGCATGCAGAAACGCTTCAAAAGCCAAATATTGCCGCTAAAAGGGTATGAATTATTTGTGGCGCCATCTACCGCAAGTCAACAAAACCTGCCGTCGCCGTCATCCGTCGACGCCCGAGGCGCCTACGGCGGCTACACGAGCAACCCGGACGTTTTGTCTTTCCCTCGCTCGACGGAGTGCGTTGGTCGTGGTTCGTAGTATCGTGGTATCGTTATTGTTCCTGGTGTCTCGACCTCGACTTCGACTGCCCGCCCCGTCGCAAGCATCTTGCGCTCGACGTCGCTCAGGCCGTCCGCCCATGCCGCCATGTTGGTCGGGAATCGGCTGGAGAGCGGTAGAGCGGCGAGCCTGGCGAGCCGGCGAGCGCTGGGGAAACGGAAGCTAGAAGCACCCAACCGGAAACCAACGCCACTCCGAATGACGTCACAGGCGAAGCTGGTGCCGCTTCAATGTTGAGTTGAGGGGTGCCAGAGATACCAATT